TGGCGAGCCTCGTAGACGAAGCGTCGATCGACGCCGTCTCTTAAAATCCTCCGCCTTCTGCCCGGTGTCCAGATAGGTAACAACCGCACTTCATGCGGGTCGATCAGTTACGTATCTTTCTTCTCCTCCTCCTCCTCCTCACTCTCTTCTCTTCGTTTTTTTCATCTCTGTTCGCGATGCAGACGGTCTCTCGTAATAGCGAAGATTTTATCGTCAAAGAGAATTTTTCCACATCGACGATGTGGGCTCCTCCATAAAGGAGTGTTTCGCGGGATTTTTCGATATTAACAATTAATATTTTTATCTTAATATCACGACGGTAATACGGGCAACATTTGTAGTCATCGGCGAGCGTTAATGGAGGGATAATATAGGAATAATATTTTAAAATTAATAAATGTTACTTGTTAACAGGAGAAGAGCAAGATCGAAACGAGTAGAGGGAGATATTAATTGTCGCAATTGAGAGACGGTAACGCTTCAATTTCTTTAAAATTTCTTCTCTCCATATCTTCTCTGACACCAAGAACGACTCGTCGCGGGTAGCATCTCGTCGAATATTTTCTTAATGAAATGACGGTCGACTCGGCAAAGCTGTTCAAAATGAATCATCGTTCGATCATCCAACAGCAGTTTAGCCAACCGTGGATAAGATATCGGGAATCATTTGCTTAACTTTTTACTCGTTTTCGCATGGAAATGATCGCGTTGCTCGACCAGTTTAGACAAGTGGACGAGGAACGCGGAGACGAGATATCGCGAGACACTCGAATTTGGAAGGAAGGAAGGAAGGAAGGAAGACGGGAGGCGGGTTGGAGGCGACGGTTTTTCACCGGGCCCGCCGCGGTTTTTTGAACGAGGAACGATCATTTGGGAGTCTAATTTATACGGCGGCTAAATTAAAACGAATGCGTCGGCCTGGGCCGCCGCGTCTGCAAATCTCTGCGGGTTCCTCGGCGAGAAGGAGCGTCTCGCATGCGAGGAAAAAGAGGACGAGGATCCCCCGGGGAAAAGAGAGAGGCGACTATATTGTGATTAGGGAGGAATGTTGATTAGATCCATCAGCTGGTCGAGTGTTGGCCCTCCTTCCTTCGCTCAACCTTCTTCAAACTCTCTCTTTCTCTTTCTCTCCCTCTCCCCCTCTCTCTTACACTCTCCCATTCCGACCGAGAGAGAGTCTGTTTGAACCTCGTGAGTTCACCGAGACTCGTGTGAAACTTTGCTCTGAGCGAGAATTATTTATTTTTCGAACGAAAACTTTATTCCAAGGTTGTTTGCTCTAGACAAAGATTAGGATTTTAGGATTTCCTCAATTCGGTTATGCGATAAGATTTCAAAATTAATAGATGGAAGCTGTAGAATTATATTGTATCGTGTTCATAAAAAATAATGCACGGAGAGATAAGTAAGGCAGGCGGATGATGATGATTTTGACGAAATTTATTTTGACTTTTATGTTGACACGAGAGATGAGATTACACGCATTTATTTATTGTCATAAATATGTAATACGCTTCAGTTTGCGTCACGGGTCAATGCTTTGTCGTGTTGATAAAAAAAAAAAAAAAAAAAAAAAAAAAAAAAAGAAAAAGAAAAGTAAGTCTGAAATAAATAAGGATAAATTATCAAATCTCACTCTTTCCACTAATATTTCAATCGATTCATCATTCAACCGATTCATCGGATACGTTCGATTCCGTATTCCGCGCGCCGATTGCTAGTCGAAACATGGCGCCATGACGTTCCCTCACGAACAAAGGCTAAACACGCGGACATTACACACCTAAACACGAAACATCGAGCATGATGCGGAATGTCAATACGTAATTGCTCCGCAATTTATCACGTTCGTGCATTCCTACCTTGCAACGATCGCATGATCGATATTTCTAAAATTAGAAAAATATAAATGCCCATGGAAAATTTCGTTTCGAAGAATAATCTAACCTCCTCTCCTTTTCTTCGTCTTCTATCAAGAATTAGAATAATTTGAGAGTGAAACGATTGCTCTCTGAGAGCATTATTCGCGACAATGATTATTTCAGTGACGAATCAATCAACCTTCGAAAATAACTCTCTCGAAAACTCTTTATTCTTAATTTTATTTCACATCCTTATTTCGGGTGGGCGTCGCAAAACAAAGCGCGGAATAAAATTAGAAAGACAAAAATTCCCTTTGATCCCTAACCCTCCTTTCTTTTCATCTTACAATAGTCAGCGTTTCTGCGAGCGAGCGTCGAGCGAAGCGCATGCTCGCGTAGGTTTCGATAGGTGTGAAATTAACTCGATGCAATAAACGTCATCGACAAGCTGCTCGTTTTGAAATAATTGAACCCCGGATCGACGTGCACGTGTCCGTTTTATTATTTATAATCGTGGTTTGCGATCGCCGCCGATAAAATGGCGTTGATGGATCGTAATGGCGAGTACCGGTGAAACGGTCTACCATATTGTTCCCGAAGAAAATTAATGTTTCGTTTTTTTTTTTTTTTTTCCTTCCCCCCCTCCTCCTCCGATTTATATATGCGGGTACGAAACACGTGCGATAGCGTTTAAAGACGTCGTTACCTTTGTTACAACAACTTTTGCGCTATTTACCGATCTCTATGTCGTCAATTTCTAACGTCATAGATAACGAATATTCTAGGAAGTCGTAAAGTTGCGTATCTCGAAAATTGTAGGACTGATAGTTTGCCCGCTATCTTAACCTCAACCTTGTTCCTTCGCAGCGAGCAACAGTCGACGAGTAATGTAGCTTTTCCTTTCCTTTCAAAGTTTCCCGCCAAATTATCATCTTAATTCCAATTTTTCCAAGATTTCAAAACAATTACTAAGTTACTAAAATTAACTCGAGAAGAATATAAAATATCCAATCGTCACCTTTCCTCCCTCCATCGGATCCAAGATACTTTAAAAAATCCGTCGTTTTGCGGTCTGCGGATCGCGGCTGCGTACTTCCCGGCCGGAATTCCATTACCGCGGAAAATGTAAATAATAATTGTAGCGTGCTGACATAAGCATAAGATAATCCGTGGAGCGGAGGCGCTGGCTCGGCAATAAATCGTAATTTATGATCGCCGTGGACGGCCTCCGGTATCGTCGAGAAATTCAAGACCGAACCGGGACCCCTGTCCTTCTCTCTCTCTCTCTCTCTCGCTCTCTCTCTCGCTCGCTCTCGCTGCGCCCCTGCTCTCTGCTCTCGTCTTCCTCGCCGTCGGCCTTCTCGCAACGCCAAGCTGACGATGATTCCGCGTCGCGCCCTCGACACTCGTCGCTATCGTCGTGGCCGGCCTCCGCGCCTGTTTCTCCGCCTCCTCTTCGCCCGGCCGAGAGGCGACCTAGACAGGCCGACATCCACCGCCGTGTGTCTCGAATGAATCTTGTGGCCTCCTCCGCACGCTCTCCATCTTCCTCGCTCTCCCTCCTCGTCTCCTCTCCGTCTCATTTGGCGAAGAATTCCATCCTCGTCCCTTCTGCGCCGCGCTATCGGCCTTCCTCCTCGTGGTCGCG